CACTTATTGTTGAAAATAACAATTAATAGTTGGGGTTTGTTTTTTTTTAAAATAATCTATAACTGTTGAGTAATCAGAATTATGATTATATACCATGGAACAACATAGGTTCCTACAAAATTTGTTAATTAGTAGAGATTATGAAGTTATTGGATGTTAATTATTGGAAGGTTTGACTTAAGACGGTTTTCAAATTTTGAATTTTCTTTAAAAGTTGTGCATTTTGCAGTGGACATTCTTACTATATGCTTTATGCATAGGTTTTGGTTAGAACGTGCAATCTGATTCTCATATCTCTGCTTGTCTTTAACTGTAGGGGAGGTTATTGACGGCAGCCACCATTGGCTTGGTTATAGCCGGAGGAGCCTATGCCAGTACTGTGGATGAAGCAACTTTTTGGTAGTAGTTACATCCTTACAGGATACATTTTTATTGAGTTGTTCTTAACCTTTTTGCATTTTGTACATTTTTATTGGTTATTTTAAGGGTAAAAACTGAGTCATGCGCACACCACAGTGCAGCAACTGCCAATTTTTTGCTGAAATGTGGTCAAATAATTTTACAATGATTTGTTATTTAGGATAACTCTGATGTTTTAACTGGATATTTTCCTTCGTCCCATTCCTAAGTGAATGTGAAATTCTGGATTGAATGTGTTGACGTGCTTACTGTCAATTTTAGCTTATTAAAGAAACAAAAACTGCTTCTTTTTCCGTTGGTTGGGAGACATTATCTCTCCCGGAGACCTCTTAAATAAGGATATCTGTTTCACTAGAAGGATGCAATTCTAAAACTATTTGAAACCTATACAGTAAAAAATAAATAAATAAAGAGTTTTTGAGAACATGCCATGTTTACTTTTGTATTCCTTAGAAGGATTTAATACAAAAAACTTGTAGTTTCTGTTTGAATTGGAAATGTATCGGACTTGTGGAACTAGGATTAAGTCCCTTGAAAAGATGACAGGTGAATTTTCTCTGTTCATTCTGCAGTTTTGTCTCTCTTAGGCTGGTGATTAATCTTGTGTAGCTTATGCAGTCGGTTTTCTTTCTGAGGTTTTGTTCAGGGGCCAGAAAGAAGGGTTACATGGGCAGAAGGTGGTTTTGTGGCTATTTTTTAGTGGGTCCACCATATTTGGTTGCAGTTTATGATTTTTTCTCTTGAAGGTTGGTCCCCCATCCCCTACAGGAAGTATCTGCTTGGCAAGAAGACAATAACCCGGTTGTGCCAAACTTGAGAGCCTTAGCATGGATGAAGTTGTGGAATTTTGCGTAAGAGAATGGGATGGAATTAACAATTGGATGAAGGCAAAACCTTTATGACCTTATTTCGACCTTAGTTCACCATTAACGTCACGTCACATAATCCAGTTGTCGGAGCTTTGGATTAAGTCTATATGGACCAAGTGTGGGGAATCATTGAATTTATCCACTTTGAAGGAGAGCATGGAGCCATAGTTGAATATTTCCCCCCAATAAACAAGGAAGTATGGAGTTATACGAGTTTGAATGCGTTAGAAGGCGGGACTGGCAACTTATTGACATGAAAGTGTAAAGTTGGAAGATGCCAGAATATCTGACACATCTGATAATGCAGAAGGCCCTTATTTGATAATCTCATGGTATAAACCTCATGATAATAAACCTCACTCAACTTGACTAACTTTATATCTCAGCCTTCTTGTTCTTGCTCAAAACCATTTTTCTCTATTTTTAACTGTCTATTAAGCCATAAGTTTGTTAAATGGTTATCTGGTATTGCAGAATATGTATGCATACTAGCAATGAAGTTCATTAGATACAACAAATTATGAGAAGTTGGCATTTAGCAACCAACATTGATCAACACACTTGTAATCATCCACAAGGTGATTCCTGGAATGTTACTAATTAAAAAACATGTTTGAAGACTGAAACCTTTCTTTGTTAGCTTTTTATTGAGTGTCATATTAGTGAAATTAAAAAATTGAGGCGCAACTGAAATACGTGCATGCTGTAGATTTTTTCTTGAACTGTACTGCAAATCAATTGCAGCAAATTTATTTATCTGTTTCAGTGCTGAGAGGAATTGCTAAGTTTCATGTCAATTTGGAATTTATTAATTTTTTTCTTATGCATACATACAAAACTAATATGAGAAGATACAGATGTTATTATCAAATTTTCTGCCACTAATTTGTTATTGTGTACACATTAATTTTCTCTTGATCCTCTATATTGTAATAGATGGCTGAACTTAAAATCTCTTTTGACCTTCTTAATATTTTTGCAAATTGCAATGAATACTGCTGAACCTATTGGTTAGTGGTTAAGTTGAAATCTAAAGATCTTAGGTCTTAGGGTTTAGAATGGAGAAGAGGCAAGGGAGGAGAAGAGAGAAGAAAGAGATTGGAAAAATAGGGTTAAGGAGAATAAGGGTTAACTAATCTCTTCTCTCATCACCCATAATTATATTAATTCACAATCTACCAAAAATTATAAAAATACCCTTAGTTAAATATCTTAACATTCTATACTCTCCTTCAAGTTAGAGTATGGATATCATTCATTCCCAACTTGAATACATTTGAGTGAAAAATTCTACTACTAAGTCCTTTAGTAAATACACCAACTAATTATTCCTTGGATGTCACAAAGGGCATACAAATCAACCTCACATTGAGCTTCTCTTTAATGAAGTGCCAGTCATGTTGAACGGGATTAAGAGCAATATTAATGACAACTTTATTATCAACATACAACTACATAGGTTCACCATTAGAGTACCTCAAGTCCTCCATTAAGGTTTTCAGCCACATAAGCTCACAAATACCATGAGCCATTGTCCTGTACTCTGCACTAGATTTAGCCATCACTGCTAGCTTCTTGCTTTGCCAAGTAACTAAATTTCCTCCTAAAGAGGTGCAGTAGCCTATAGTGGACCTCTCATCATCATTCGAGCTAGCCCAATCTGTATTTGTAAATGCTTCTAGTCGTAGATGATCTTGGTTTGAGAATAGTATTCTTTTACTTGGAGTTGATTTGAGATACCTCAAAATATGATGAACTGTCACTTAATGGTAAACTCGGGGATCATGCATAAATTGGCTAACAACACTCATTGTATATGTTATGTCTTGGCGAATTTGAGAAAGATATATAAGTCTTCCAACAAGCCGTTGATATATTTCTCGGTCAATTTTATCATTTTCATTACTTTTCAGTCCTTTGGTCTCAATAGGTGAATCTGTTTGGTCTATGCCTTAGCATGCTGGCTAAGAAATACGGATACAAACACGAGTGTCATAACAACAAAGTATAATGTATAACAATATTAATTTTTTGATTAAAATTAAATTAGATCAAAATAAACATCCATTATTTTTATCAACATCCTTACATTCATTAACATTCGTATTATATAAGTTATATAACAAAAAACGTAAATAAAAAATAAACAAATTACACTCATATGAATAGTTAACAACCATTTTTAAAATAAAAAAAATCTTGGCCATGTTCTGACCGTGTTCTAGTTATGTCCTACTCAATTTATTTAGGACATTTCTAGTAGTGTCAGACAGTTTGTTCGACACTACCACGGCATTCTTGGGGAAGTATCCATGCTTCCTAGCATGTCAGTTTCCTCTAGAGATCAAGAATGTACTTCCTCAGTGAAGTGAAAATGTCATTATTAGATCTGGTTACTTCAATCCCCAAGAAATAGCGTAAATGCCCAAAATCTTTGATCTCAAATTTTTTAGGTAGATGAACTTTCAATTTGGACACTACCTTTACATCATCACCAGTACTTATTATGTTATCTACATATACTATAAGCACTAAGATTTTTCCATTTCCTTGCTTGATGAATATCGTGTGATTTGTATGTCTTTGTTTGCATTTAAACTTGACCATTGTCTTATCAAATCTGTCAAACCAAGCTCTAGGGGACTACTTTAGTCCANCATTTAAACTTGACCATTGTCTTATCAAATCTGTCAAACCAAGCTCTAGGGGACTACTTATGGGGATTTCTTTAACTTAAATACTTTTCCTTTCGTTGCTTGAGTAGAGAAATGTGGAGGAATATTCATGTACGCTTCCTCCTTCAAGTATCTATGAACAAACACATTCTTCATATTCAATTGATGTAGATCCTATCCCAAATTGACAACACAAGAAAGAAGGACACGAATAGAATTCATCTTGGCAATAGGGGCAAATGTCTTCAAGAAGTCTATGCCATATGTTTGAGCAAACCTGTCTTGCTTTGTATTTATCAACTATGCCATCTATATTTTGTTTGATAGTAAACACCCAGTTGTAGCTGGCTAATTTTTTTTCCACCTGGAAGAGAGACAAGTTTCCAAGTTTCATTCTTTCCCAGAACTCTTATTTCCTCCATCATGATTGCGTTCCATTTGGGATCTGCTAACGCTTCATTCTAGCTTTGAGGAAGAGATATAAAAGACAAGGATGAAATAAAAGTATGTAGGAAGAAAATAAAAAGTCATAAGAAATAAATTTAGAAATAGGATGTTGGGTACAAGTCCAAATTTCTTTTTGAATAGCAATAGGTAAATAATTATCATCAACCAGATTACTTCATGAAGGTAGAAGAAGAGAGCACAGGAATTGGGTTGGGGACTGATAACTGGCTTGGTGGCTTATGGGGGGTGATTTGCTTAGCTTGACTTTGAGTATAACATTGCAAATCAACCCCGTCTAATCTCCCCCATGTAGTCTGCTCCCTGAATAGGTATTTTTCTCTAAAGGCCCCCCTCCCCAGATATCTCTCCTTGACTCAAGTACTCGTTGGGAGCTAGGAGGAAGAGGCCATCCTTTGTCATCTCTTCATCAACACACTATTTTTGAAGAGATGTGAGGGAGAGGAAGAGTGCGACTCAATTCCATAAAATGTGACATCCATGCTAGCATACACCAAAGGACCAAACAACTGAAAAACAAAGGCCACAAATCTTTCACAGCCTTCAGTATATCAATGCAGAACCTGCTAAGATGAAACACAACATGGCACAACTTCTTGTGAAAGAAACAGGCATGGCCGAAGCACCTTTAGCCACAAAATCCACAACAAAACCCCAATGTTTCACAGAACTCAATCAGAGGTCTCCTATGTCCTAGATGTAACCCTTAGGCTATGGTGGAACAACTCGAATGGCTTCAACCTTAGACAAATAGTAGATCTTGAAATTTGATTCCAAAAATTCAAAAATCATCCAAAAATTAAATAAACGTACTAGATGACTTTCAAAAAATTCCAAAAAAGTCACCATAATACATTGGAGGAAAAATCGAGCCAGGCCATGTCGAATTTTATGATTTTCATTGCTAACCCCAGCTTGACGTCATCATTTAGGCGATGATATCAATGATTCGATGACGATGTCGTTGACCCCGAGAGACTTACAAGGCTTTTGAATGTTTTGGTGTCTTCAAATTTTTAATAGATCACTCTGATATAAAGTTAAAATATATCAAAATCTACGATTTAGGGTGTAGAATTTTAGAATTTGAGAACACGCAAGGGAGGAGAAGAGAGAAGAAAGAGATTAGAAAAATAGGGTTAAGGAGAATGAGAGTCAACTAATCTCTTCTCTCATCACTCATATTTATATTAATTCATAATTTGCCACAAATTACAAGAATGCCCTTAGTTAAATACCTAACATTCTACAGGTTACCAATTCTCTTATTTTCTGGCTATATTTCTTGTTCAATGGCATCTCTGCAAGAAAGCATTGAAATGATACACTAATTTCATTTGGCAAATAGCATACTTAACGCTTGTGTTTGATTGAGTGCCTTTTTCTCCTAGTTGGTGCTAAATTGTTCCATGACTATCTCGAGTTCCTCGCACCATTGTGTATTTCATTGCATTGCTGTAGGTGGTTATTTGAGCAATTAATCATTGGATTTGTGATTGGACCAGTTTCTGATGACCTTCTTGATGTGGTAGACTGAAATGAACTGGGATTAGTTTTATCAAAAAAAAAAAAAGAACTTGGATTATTATGTTGACTATGATGCTGCGTTGCAGTCAGTCATTTCTACTCGCATGCCAATGATGCTGTAGTTTTTTTCTTGTTATATTTGGTTTTTTATCATAAATTCATGATACAACCCAGCTTAAGTATTTGGGTAAACTGGAGGTGAAGTTGAAATTTTAAATCATGTGTACATCAACTTCCTTACCTCATAAACTGCACATTATTCAGAGATGTTATATGGGATTTGAAATTCATGTGGGCCACGCATTGCTATATTCATGAATAACTTATCCAGTGTGAAACTTTTTACAGTGGCTGGCTATTCTCAGCAACCAAACTTGTGAACCCTTTCTTTGCCCTTCTGGACGCAGAGGTTGCTCACCGTCTGGCTGTCTCAGCTGCAGCACGTGGATGGGTTCCAACGGAGAAGAGGCCAGATCCAACAATATTAGGACTAGAAGTTTGGGGAAGGAGGTTCTCCAACCCTATTGGCCTTGCCGCTGGTTTTGATAAAAATGCTGAGGCTGTTGAAGGATTACTTGGTTTGGGCTTTGGATTTGTGGAGGTTGGCTCAGTAACTCCTGTTCCACAAGAGGGTAATCCAAAGCCACGTATCTTCAGATTGCCTCAGGAAGGGTAAGAATGTATGTTGCACCTTGTTTTCTCTAAGAATCAGATCGTGTCTAATTCTTGGGTTTGTGAAGGATCTGTTTCAGATTTCTAAGCTGTCAATCTGCTTAATTTTTTGGGCAGTGCTATAATCAATCGGTGTGGCTTCAATAGCGAAGGTATTGTCGCTGTTGCAAAGCGATTGGGTGCGCAGCATGGTAAGAGAAAGCTAGATGAAACATCAAGCACGTCATCTTCGTCCAGTGATGAAGTCAAACATGGAGGGAAAGCTGGTCCCGGAATACTTGGGGTCAACCTGGGAAAGAATAAAACAAGTGAAGATGCCACTGCGGATTATGTACAAGGGGTTCATACATTATCTCAATATGCTGACTACTTGGTAGAATTGCTGCTTTCCACTTCACATTTGTATTGATCTTTTGTTTGCCTATTTTGTTCTGTGTCCTGAGTACATCAACTTGTATATGACAAACGTGTTAATTTGCTTGAATCATTGGCCTGTTTGTTGTTTGTGTCAGACATGGGCAATAAGTAGAGATTGTAGTGTAGTTTCCTATGCATCTTGATTAAGCGAATTTATTTATAACCATGGAAAAAAGATGTAGGCTTAAGGCCGATCCATCATGAAGCCTACATAGATTAACAATTTGTGAGTTTCTTCTGCAATTATGGTCACTATAATCACAATATATTTGTATATTTACTTAATCATCAATATACTCATTTATAACTCCATTCTCTAAAACCACCATATATATTTTAAGGACTATATGATATAGATTCTTTAAATCGATGGAAGGTGTATGAAGATCTTTTTCTTTTTTCACGATACACCTTTCTATGAGTCTTCTAATTATATAGCTTTGATTGTTGACTTCACGTGCATAAATTTGGAGTGATTCTTAGGTACTTTATTTTCTTCCAAGTGTTGCTCAATTACTCTCAGACGAAGTTTCGTTATGATAATTTGTAGAACTTTGAGTGTCCATTATTTTTATGAATATTCAGAAATACTCTCCCTATTCACTGGCCTTTTTCAGTTGTTATAATATTATCACGTAATTTTATTATATGAGATACTTTGACATCTCCTAAACCCGTTTATGCCTCAATAGTTATATCATTAAGTCTTAAAATTTAGTCAGTCGTCATTCTCTATTGCATATTCTTTAACATTGCAATTCTATGAAGTTTTTTGTCTAAATCTTTTTTGTAGTTAACCTATTTTTCAAAACCTAAACTTCGTGTAGGATGCTCATTCAATTTCTCAACGTAATTTTTCATGTTTCCTTAAGTTTTGCATTTTGTTGAATTCCCATTCGTAACTAAAATTCCCATTTCATGTTTCCTCAAGTAATATGACTAAAATTCCCAATTTATCTTTTCCTCAATTTAGTAATTCTATAATATTTTGCTTACCCTCCTTTATATCTAACTTAAATAAATATGAACATATCCTTTATACCTGGCTTCATTTTCCCATTTTTGAACATTTTTATTTGTAATTTTCTTCCTGTAAGTATCCATGGAAAAAAGTATTCTTGATGTCAAGCTGACACAAAGGCCAATCACAACTAATTGTAACAAAAATAATAACTCTAACAATCACACTTATTTTCAGTAATAGTTACGTCATCCTATTAATGTTTGAATATAATATTATTTTATCTCTTATTATGTTCAGTATCATAGAGTTTATAAGATGTTNCTAATTGTAACAAAAATAATAACTCTAACAATCACACTTATTTTCAGTAATAGTTACTTCATCCTATTAATGTTTGAATATAATATTATTCTATCTCTTATTATGTTCAGTATCATAGAGTTTATAAGATGTTTTTTTTATTTTTTCCTCCCCCGCCATTTAGTTTCCTATAAGCTTGCTATATTGACCTCTCTAATTGTAGTTTCAACTTACTGATTTCCTTGCTTGTTAGAGTTCCTATATCATACTGATGCAGGAATCCTTGCCCACTTTTCACTGCATCCAGACACCATGATCCCATTGTCTGAAATACCAGGGTGCAGATGGAACATGAATAAGGGGAATCTGAGCGCCCTTTGATGCACACATATGTTTCCAGGCTCGATGTTTGGTGTCAGCTACCTAATTCATCCTTTTTCTTTATGGACTATATACAAAATACATGCTAAGACAGACACAGAAGTAGTTAGAGTTCTAAAAGGGGACTTTAACTCTAATGCTAAAGAGCAATTCAAGTACCATAACAGGAAGTACATCCCTACTTTTATTTTTCTGGAATTCATTTTTCTCCCTCTATTTACCCGACTTTTATTTTTGGTGGAATTTATTTTTCTTTGCCAACTATTGCATTGTTTCTGTGTAAACTATCATTTTTGGACTTTTTTAACATTGTAATCACTGGGACCAATTTTTTATCATATTGCATGGCGTGCACATATACAGGTTTTTTAGTTCTTTAGAAACAGTAAGCGTTCACACAACAAGCTGATCTAATGACGTTGTTTCTCTTTTGGAGGTTATAAATATTTCATCACCTAATACCCCTGGGCTGCGCCAGCTTCAGGGAAGAAAACAGTTGAAGGACCTTGTCAAAAAGGTTTGGAGATCCTTGATTACCTTACTTTTCTCAAAAATAGATTAGGATTTAGTCTATGACAAAAAAAGTAAGGGATTTTGTTCTAATTTTTGCTTTTAATTAAGGTTCAAGCCGCTCGCGATGAAATGCAATGGGGTGAGGAGGGGCCACCACCATTGCTTGTGAAAATTGCTCCAGACTTGTCTAAGCAAGACCTTGAAGATATTGCAGCGGTATGCAAACATGGTATCCTGATTTGTTATCTTTATTTCCACGGACGGTGTTCTTATTTTTCCTTCCTTGTAATTATAGGTTGCTCTCGCTCTCCGCTTGGATGGATTGGTATATTTTCCTGACATAAATTTCAGATAGTCTTTTAATGCTAAATATTGGATGACAATGTTGTTTAATATTCTTGGCACCTTCTTATGATGTGCCATCACTTTACTGCACTAAATCTACATCAATTGAGAACCTTCTTATCAGTGAGGTAGATAACACACTCATGTTTTATTGTTTCACTATTCTAATTCTGTTTTGCATTATATGCTTTTTTAGCATGCAGGAAGACTCCAAATGTTCCAAATTTGTCTCTGATTATGAGAGCAATAAATAATTACATAGAAATATAAGTAGTGCTTTTTGGATCTTCTCACTATTAACTTTTTACTGGTTACTAGTGTGCATCTCTAATCTTGGTGAACTCATGTAATTGTTGAATGTGAAAGGGATAGTATAGTTGATCACACTATGCAATAAAACTCTGGTAGCACAATTTTCGCTGATGAGAAAAGCATGTGTTGGATGAACTCCATGTTCATGAAATGGTAAAAGAATGAAGTAATTTGTTGGGTCTACTTTAAATTTCAAGTGTATTCTAAACAATGCTCCATTAAATCATATTTGCAAAGTAGCGATGGTTAGAGGGTGTCAGAGGTGTAGGTAGTGGCACCATTGGGTCTTTGTTGGACTCTTCAGTTGGAGCAGAACCAGAATCCCTTCAAGTAGCTGATTTGGGAGGTGAAAATTGTTAACTTTGATCAAAGAGGCAAGAAAGAAGAGAGAGAACACAGAAGAAAGGAAAGAATATTATTACAACACATCAAGTTTGTGCAACATTAAGCCTAAGATACACAGTAGAAGTCTTTATGTACTAGGGTAACATAAAACAGCGTCAACGACCAAATTACCCCAATACTAATATGCTACAATACTTTAACACTCCCCTCCAACTCATGATGTCATCATTGAGAATATCAAGAGTTTACCAAGAAGAAAGCGAAAGTGCATGATGGTGTGGGATTTTGTAAACAAATTTGCTATTTTTATGGTGGAAGGAAGAAAGGGAAGAGATAGTGGTCAACTGAAGATAATGGCGTACAAAGTGGCGGTCAATCTTAATATGTTTTGTGCGCTCATGGTAGACCGAGTTGTGATCAATGTGAATAGGTGTTATCACAATACATTAAAGTAGGAGTAAATAAAGAGATGTCAAAAATCAGCTAGCAGTCATTGTAACAAGACTATCTCAAATTTGGCAGATGCCATAGCACGGTATTCAGCTGCAACGGAGGAACGAGCAACAACAATTTGCTTCTTTCTTTTCTAGGAAATAAGAGAATCATATATTAACATTTTTAAGATCTGAATGCAAGATCTTTTATTTAGGTACCAGTTTACCATCTATCTTGCAAAAAACTAACCTCTCACAGAGGGTTTTAGTGGGTTATTTTTGACTTTTGCAAGTGGAAGATCAGAAGATGGGATGAAGAGCTTGGTTAAATATATATTAAGGTGACAGCATTTTTATTTTTCCCAGGTTCCGTATGCACCAGGGGGAAGGAAAGAATAGATTAGTTTTTTGGTATCCCTAGTACCCGTCGTTTTGATAAGTATTGTGTGCCTAGTTTCTTTTTTTGAACTGGCTTGTGTGCTTAATTTAGTAGTTTACAATTGGGATATTTGTGTATTGCATAATAGCTTGATGTAATGAAAATTTAGGTTGAGGATGAAAAATAATCATTGTCTGATTCTATTTGATGATGGAAACACTCATACAAATCCAAGTGCCAATTTTTTTGTACACTAGGATATTAGTTAGACTAGGTTCAGATGCACAACTGGTCTAGTATTGGTGAGTTATGATTATGCTTTAATGACATGTAGCAGCAAGTATGTTGTGCTTTACGTCCTTACATACAATTCAATTGGCTTGGAGATATTCTGCTCCCTTAGTTGGCATTTATAGAAAGCTGATGAGCTCTTGTTTTGCGTAACTCCTCTTTAACTTGTTCTTTGCTTTCTGGCCTATTTTGGACAATGGACTACAATTCTTGCATTTAGTCTTAGTTTCATTTGCTTGGTGCTTGTAGATCATATCAAATACAACCATTGCAAGACCAGAACCCGTAAATAGATACCCAGTGGCTGAAGAAGCTGGTGGCCTGAGTGGGAAGCCTCTCTTTATTTTGTCCACCTCTATCCTGAAGGAGATTTATGTTTTAACAAAGGTGTGTTACTTATCTCGCTAGTTCTGGAGTAAGTTATGCACCAAATTGTCCTGTAGTTAGGGTATGTATGTGAGCTATTTCCTGAAAACAAACAGCATACCTTTGAAATGTCAACCATATAACCCTTGCAATTAGTATGATTCAGTTATTATGGGTCAACTGTCCACTTTATTGTTTGTTATTATCTAACTTGGTCCTTGATCTATTTTTAACTGTTTAAGGAGGCTGCTGAGAAATAAATGGCTATTTGTAGTTATTAGTTCCGTTTGTTTCTTCATACATCTATTATTTGTTGGTATTTTTTAATCTTATGTTGTTTTTTTACAGATAATGGATGGATTATGCAATGTGAATATACCTTTATGTATAATGAATGTTTGGATTGTGAAGATTAATCACTTGAACAACGAGTGAAGGGTTATTCTTGATCCTAAAAATGGTGAAAAGGATATTTTTTGTAAAAAAATACATAAATCAAAAGGACCACGGCATGGACAATTAAGGTGTGATGTTTTGGATCTGATAAGCTTGTCGCTGCTTTTGATGAACTTTGAGCTTCCTTTCGTTTCTTTATTCTTCCTTCGTTTTTTATATCTAATTATTTTCTTTTATTGTTTTAAGATATGAAAATAGAAAGAAGGAGAAGTAGAGAGAAAGAGAAAGAGAAAGTTCTGTGAGAACGGGGGTGGTTTTTTAGAGAAAGCCCCAAAATGAGATTGGGGTTATCTCTCTTAGTCCCATGTATTTATAGTAGTAATACTAAAAGTACATAAATATCCCTCATGGCAATAAGACAACTCTTAGCCCTATACCTTAAGTTGGAGTATAGATATTTTTTATGTCTAACTTACAAACAATGGGATGAAAAGCCTTACAACTAAATCTTTTATGAAAACTTGTGCCAATTGATCTCCCGATTTCACAAAAGGTATACATAACCTTGTTATTTAGTTTCTTTTTAATAAAATATTTATCAATCTCAATATGTTCGATTTTGTCATGCTGAACTGGATTATAAGCAATATCAATAGCAACTTTATTGTCACAATACAATTCCATATGCCAGTCAATCGAAATTCCTAGGTCTTGCATCAAACTTTGAAGCCACATACTACAGACTATCTTTTACTACGCCAAGTAACTATATTCCCTCCTATAAAAATTCAGTCTCTAGAGGTGGATCTCCTATCATCAATTGAGTCTACCCAATTGGCATCACTGGATACCACTAACCTCAAGTGACCATGATTAGAGAACACAACATGCCTTTTTTTGGAACGGACTTAAGATACCTTAGAATTTTGCAAGTAGCATCTAGATGCACTGTACGAGGGTCATGCATAAACTGGCTAACAACTTCCACTACATAAGCAATGTCTAGCCGAGTGTTAACTGTGTATATCAATCTGTCTACTAGTTAGTACATTTCTTTATCCACATGGTCATCCACGCCTTTTCTCGGCCTATAATTAGCCTTAATAAGTGTCTGCAGGTTTACATAAATTACATCCCATCATGCCAGTCTCCTCAAGTAGGTCAAGAGCGTAATTCCTCCGAGATATATAGATGTCGTTATTAGATCTAGCAACCTCAATCTCTAAAAACTACTCCACTGGACCTAAGTCTTTCATCTCAAACCCCTTGGCCAGGCGTAATTTTAGGTGAGACATCGCCTTCACATCATTCCTAGTAACCACTATGTCATCAACATAAACAATAAGATTAATAATCTTATAATCATTACATTCGATAAACATAGTGTGGTATGCATTACTTTGCTTGTATCCAAACCCTAACATTACTTTGAGAAATTGCCCAAAGGAAGCTCTATGAGACTGTTTTAAGCCATAAATTTCTTTCCTCCATCTACAAATCTCTCTAACAGTAGAATGAGAAGAAAAATCTGGTGGAATATTCATATAAACCTCTTCCTCCAAGTCGCCATAAAGGAATGCATTCTTCACATCTAGTTGTAAGAGCCAAACCCAGATTAGCGGAACAAGAAAGATGAGTGCAAATAGAATTCATCTTTTCAGCAGGGCAAAGGTCTCCTAGTAGTCAATGCTAAAAGTCTGAGTAACCCAAGGTCTCCTAGTAGTCAATGATGTAAGTCTAAGTAAAACTTTTGGCAACTAACCTTTATTTATATCTATGGAGACTTTTCTTTTGAAGCCTCTATGGAAAAATCTGAAATTGGAGTTGGGGATGACAATTGACTTGGTGGCACATGGATGGTCTACTATTTTGGTTGGCAAGAATAAGTCTAAAGATCAAGTCTTTGTAATCATCTGCTAATAAGTCACAAACAATCTCTCTTAACGAAGGGAGAAAAATTGGAGATCCTCTTGTTGATCATGTAATTGCCTATCTTCCCCATTGCCAATCTCCCCATGAAGAGAGGATTGAGATATAACAAAGCAGGATTCGGTCTCGTGGAATTTGACATCCATGCTAACATATTTCTTATGGGACTAAGGATCATAACATATATAACCTTTTGAGTCATAGAGTATCCAATAAAGTTACACTGAAGCAGAGAAACAAACTATAGCAAGAACTTTCTTCACAAATTTACCTTTGCATGCCACTGCAGCTCTTTCAACCAAGGAGTCCCAGGATAAATTTAGCATAGAAGCATCACATTTCGTTATAATTAGGCTCCATATTTTATAAGAAAACGAAATTAGAAATGCAGATGCTGTATATCTTTAGATGCTTCCTTAGAATGAATGCACACAATTTTTATGTTTGTTTTGATAATGCTGATTTCTTCCCAGAGTATTAAGTCTTCCCCTAATGGAAAGCCAAAAAGATACCAGACCTCTAGACCATACAAAATGTACCAGCTCACCTTGGTGGGATTAATTTGAGTAGGAAAGAAGACAATTGACTTTCAAGAAAAGGAGATTAAGGAGCTTAATTTCTAAAAAGCATCATTAAGATTAATTCTTTTGTTTGCTTGCTAATGTAATTTTTGCTTTCTTGGTCATAAGGTAATGAGTGGCTATTTATCAACATCTAGCTTGTCACCTGTTATGCAAATAGCTCATTTAATGATAACTTTAGTATCACTTAACCTTCTTAGTCATTCGGATATGGGACTTCCAATTGTTATCCTTATGGTATGATAAGCACTTACTTTGGAGATGGTCCTCTTGAATTTTTTTTTTTCTATTTTTCCATTTGGTACTTACATTTTGTGATTANTAACCTTCTTAGTCATTCGGATATGGGACTTCCAATTGTTATCCTTATGGTATGATAGGCACTTACTTTGGAGATGGTCCTCTTGAATTTTTTTTTTTCTATTTTTCCATTTGGTACTTACATTTTGTGATTTCATGCAATTTTGATCCTAACTGTGCTTTGCTTGGTTTAATCAGGGTAAAATTCCACTAATTGGCTGTGGGGGTGTTAGCAGGTAATTGCAGTCGTGCATGTCCTGCTTTTTATCTTATTATTCATCATTTATTTTTCATGGACTTAAGTAACAGCTTTGAATCCTTCTGACTGAGTATGCATTTGTTTCAGTGGTGAGGATGCATACAAGAAGATACGAGCAGGAGCAACTCTTGTTGAGCTTTATACAGCATTTGCCTATGGGGGACCTGCCCTTGTACCCCAGTTGAAGGTATTATTCTGGTTTATGTTTAGATTTTTTGAAGCTTGAATGAAAAATATTAGGTTGTTTTGGATTATTATGGGTGTAGCATTTGTTTCCAACAAAGGCTTGTATCAAGTAAGGGTAGTAGAGCATTTGTGTCACATCATCTATGTTTCTTCAAGAATGGCTGAGTGGCAATGCTGATATGGTAAAGGTTGGACAGAAATGTATTATGAAACCTTACCCAAGTCAATGTTTGATAAGGATCGATGAACTCTAACCCTTGATATTTCTTAGCACGTTGACTTCAACAGCTTTTTCCTTTTTAGGCTGAACTTGCCCAGTGCTTAGAGAGGGATGGTTTCAAGTCAATCTATGAGGCAATTGGAGCAGATTGCAGATAGCCACAATAGACCAGCCAATTTTGGAGCTTCAATTGGATTTTCCACCTAAAAACGTGTTGAGTTATACTTTTAATGTATATTGCTAATTTCTCTTTTACTTTATTTTTCGGTCTACATTTTGCCATTCTTTTGTCAGGCTTAGGATGTTTGACATGTAACACGGGAGAAGGTCTTGGTTTTATTTATGGCTCACATTTTTCTGTCTTCCCATTCAATTGATATTTAATGCAATAGAGAGGGAGCAGACACATAAGTTCTCTTTTATCGTTCTTGGTGCATTTCTTTTTCTCTACCATTTTGATGGAGTAGAGAGTTGAGAAGGCTGTGAAAAAAAGGAGATGGATTCCACTGCAGTACATTGGCACTGCCGGGAGCTTAACTTATATTACTAAGGTATTCACTACAATGCCAAATTGAACATGTTGCCTTTTTGCCCTTTTATGTTCTGTAATATGACCTGTAATATGACCATCAGTGGTTTTGCTTATGAATTCCATTCATTTTTATTCGGTTTATTCTCTGGCAGTGTACAGCTCTAGCTTCTTCCACCGGTGTGCCACACTGCCAGCACTTGGTGGCTATAAAACTACTTGCTTTCTTGATCAAGTGGCTAGTGGGTACTTCCTCCTTTGAGTGCAAGGGCTTATATGCGAGGGGAGGAAGACGACTCTCTTCCGATGTGGGATTATCTTAGTTAAAGAGTTCTATTGGCGAAAAGAGGTAAAGGCTATTGGGCTCGGTGCCGCCAAGTCAGCCGAAGTCTTTCGAGTGGAGGGATGAAATTCTGTAGCGATTTTTACCCCTTACAGAGGCCTTGCCAAGACTTGATGAGGATGGAGAAGCAAAGATGAAGTGACTAGGATTTGTTTATGATTCAAAGCTTTCAAATAATCTCTCTGTATTTCTCGTTTTGCCGGTGGGCTGGACTGGCCCAAATCAATGGCTCAGCCACAGTGGGCCACGTTAGGTTGTCAGGTCATCCGGCTAGTCAACTTGTCAGTACAAAATAAAAAAGGCAGCCTCAATTGGCCTTGCCAAGGTAAAGAAAAATGAATCCACTATTAGATTGGTGAGATTCCATCTCGAGCTGTGGAGGAAGTTAATGTTGGGATCTAAAGCGCTTTAAATCCACAGGTAAATACACACAATCAAAGAATAAACTAAAAACATAAAACAATGAGAAATAAGAAATAACAAGATACACAAATTTTACATGGTTCAGTAATTTGTCTATGTCTACGAAACTGCAGGAATTTACTATTGAGAGAGCGGAATACAAAGAGTGACTATACAATTACATTTAAACTCTAATCATCAAAGTAACAGGTTTTTATATGTTCTGCGTATTAGGTTACAAAACAGGCTTAAAAAATTTTTCTCGAGGGCCCAAGCCTTCGTTTTATGAATCAAGTCTTAGAAAATTTTTCATTAAAAGTCACACAACATTGTTTCAAGTCTAATCATCATTTAAATCAACATACAAATTAGACTCCACAAAGGCCCAACGGATAAGCAACATTTTTTTTTTGTATCGTTAATAAGCAACTCTTTGACAACTCGGAAAAACACACTTTCTGTGTTTGGTAGAAAAAGGTTTTGATACCATGAGATTTTTCAGGCAAAAGATGCAATATAAAGTAGATGACTTAGAACCCAGCTCAATCATAACAAATTGGAATTTCTTGCCGCATGTGTTAGTGATAACGTGGTATCATCGGGTCTCCAAGTATGAAGTTTCAATCGGAAGGTCCTTGCCCGACTTAGTTATTAGATTTTTGTAGATTGATACTTGCATCATTGTTTGAGATAGAAATGATGAGGGTACTAACTATGGTATTGAAAAATAACTTACCTCTTCTTTTTTTTTTAACAAAAATGCGACATGTATAATTTTTCTTTGTAATTTTATTATGTTGTATTACTTTATCATTTGTATAATCAATAGTTAGAAATCAATTAAGCCAAACTTAATAGGTATTGACCAACTAAGCACTCGGAAAAAAAGATAAGAAAAAGAAATGAGTTCCTAGGAATGAGCTAGGAAGATTCGAGCCCAACAAGAAACGAACCAATAGGAGAGACATTTTCGGGGAGTAGCCCACTTCCCATTACTCAATAAGGTAATTCTTTGCACATAATTAATTAGGTGTTGTATCACAAATGCAACATTTCAACTTCTGCGCCTGTCTAATGCGAGAGAGAGAGAGAGAGAGAGAGAGAGAGAGGATGNAGAGAGAGAGAGAGAGAGAGAGAGAGAGAGAGAGAGAGAGAGAGAGGATGATCATCAACCAGAAAGGTGGCCCCAAATTTCGCGTTTGACTGTTTATCATGAATGCATTTAGGATGTGAAATTTTAATCGCAAGATCTAATACTTTGACTTTAATTATTCTAATAAATTTCACAGTAAAATTCACCGGAATGATCATTAAAAATAATCNGATCATCAACCAGAAAGGTGGCCCCAAATTTCGTGTTTGACTGTTTATCATGAATGCATTTAGGATGTGAAATTTTAATCGCAAGATCTAATACTTTGAATATAATTATTCTAATAAATTTCACAGTAAAATTCACCGGAATGATCATTAAAAATAATCTAGCGAGGAATATGTGTGCCATGAATGTTTGATGGAATCCGAGAGCAAAGCATATGAGTAGGATTGATCCAACTTCAACAATCACATCTGAATTCAATTCTAAGGGCTTGTTTTGATGAATTTTTTTTTTTTTAGAGGGGTTTAGACTGACTTCTCCAACCTCTCTAAACTCAAACCTTTCNAAAATAATCTAGCGAGGAATATGTGTGCCATGAATGTTTGATGGAATCCGAGAGCAAAGCATATGAGTAGGATTGATCCAACTTCAACAATCACATCTGAATTCAATTCTAAGGGCTTGTTTTGATGAATTTTTTTTTTTAGAGGGGTTTAGACTGACTTCTCCAACCTCTCTAAACTCAAACCTTTTTTTACAAATGTGTGATTCAACATTAAATCGGGTTCATACCCATGTTTGGCATGTAACACATACACATGCAGGATCTACGGATATATCATAATTATTAATAAATATTTGTTCTATAAATGATTATTTTATCATTGATCAATTCAATTCATACCCATGTTAAGGGGTACAATTATTTTTTTCATCCTTAACCCTTAAACCCATGTTCCCAAACTTACCCCTCTTTAGGTTTGACGAAACTCATGATCATGGATTTAATATTCGGGCCAACTACGGGTCAAGTTTGAAAATCTAAGATTGAATTTTCAATCTAAACATAGGATTTAGATGTCTTTTGAACTATTTTTCCCAAAGCCATCTTAGCACGCCCCTATACCTCCTTACCAAACAGCCTCTNATCCTTAACCCTTAAACCCATGTTCCCAAACTTACCCCTCTTTAGGTTTGACGAAACCCATGATCATGGATTTAATATTCGGGCCAACTACGGGTCAAGTTTGAAAATCTAAGATTGAATTTTCAATCTAAACATAGAATTTAGATGTCTTTTGAACTATTTTTCCCAAAGCCATCTTAGCACGCCCCTATACCTCCTTACCAAACAGCCTCGAAGAGATTGACTGTACACGCATTGCACTCATAATTTGAACCTTCACGTCAAACCAGGAGGTTCTAGTGAGCTTCATTCACAATAAGGTAGGAAAAGCACTTTTGACATCATGGAAGAATTTACGGGTTTCACACTCAGAAAAATCCATTTGTGTATGTGTAGCAGATGTTCCACAACCAAAAAAGGCTGACCAAAAATATGGATGTGACATTACTTCATGGACTTAATGTATTTCGAACCGTAAATCTTATCAATTTTAATCATTAATCATTATATTTATTTGATATTAATGGATCTGTAGATACCACTAACGAATTCCCGCGAACTTAAAATCATATATGGATGATTGAAATTGATCAAATTAACATAAAATTAGAATCAATATAATCAACAATTAATTCTTTTGCACTTCCTTTAGTAGGAGTTAGGTTGGTTTGCTGTGTTTGCCTTGTTACATTGTGTTATACCTAATGAATTGCACAGGGCTTTCCCCTGCTTTTTTCTTGTATGCACACATTTTTCAATCGATGGAATTTTTTATTTTTTGAAAAAAAAAAACAATTAATTCCGGGTCCCATAACATTTTTAATTTGGCGTGCCTTGAATTACGCGGATATGGATGCCAGACATTTGTTGCACCATCAAGTAAAAAATAAAAAATTGACATATTAGAATAATACTATCAGCACCCACTATTTTCAACAAATTATTTTTTAATCTCAATCATTGTATTATTCATACATGTTTTTTTATCTATACTACTAATAAAATACTTTAGTATTAAATTTTTGATTTACTTTTTTATTCTTATAAAGAATTTTAAATACCACATTATTATTTCATAATTAAATATCTAAATTATCATCATATCCTAATGTGTTTAAATCTCCAAAATATCCCTAACATCTCGTTTAATTTTATATTCTTTATGTATAAATATTAGTATATGTTAAACTTTTTAATTGACTATGTTATCCATAAAAAATATATGCACCATTATAGTTTTCAATAAAATGTTTAAAACATTTTCAAAAACTTCATCAATCTAATATTATTCATTTCAAATATAAAGATAATATTATGCTTACACATGTGTATTTTTTTCATTAAAAATTTCAACCATTTTATTTTTAAGATAACAAATATTTTTTCACGTAATTTTAAAAAAAAATAATTTATATTAAATCAACATAATGTTTCACTCACAGTAAACTTTTTATATTTTATTAAGAGTTTATATAAAAATAGATTATAGTGTATCTTTCCGTAAAATTTTAATTTTAAAATTTTAAAATTATTTTAAATATATATTATACAGTTGTATATTATATTTTAGGATTAATAGTACTTTTAGTCCTTAAAATATGCATATTTTGTTAATATAGTTCTCATTGATCAATTTTATCAATTTGGTCTATAAAATATTTAGTTAATGTTTAAATGATTCATATACAAAAGGTTTGTTAAGTTTTTTATAGAAGTGATCACATGCTGGTCATGTGATATTATCTAAAATAATGAGATGGAGTTACTTCCATTAAAGAGTTTAACGGACCATTTGGTTACTGATCATTTAAACAAAAATTAAATATTTTAGGGACAAAATCTATATATTGAGAACTAAACTGACAAATCGTGCATACTTTTGAGACTAAAAGTGCTATTAAATTTATCTTTGA